GGAAACTCGCTTGAGCCCAGGAGTTGGAGGTTGTTGTGAGCTGTGATGCCATGGCACTCTGCCCAGGGGGACAGCTTGAGGCTCTGTCTCAAAAAAAATAAATAAATAAAAATTCCTGGGCTCAAGCCATCCTTCCACCTCAGCCTTCTACAAAGCTGGGACTACTGGCATGGGCCACCATACTCAGCCAGAGAAGCCAGAGATATGTTTTTAAATGAATCACCCCAAACCAGCAAAACCTCAATGAGATACCACTTATCCACATATTCACTAGAATGGCAAAAACGTAAAACCCTGGCAATACCTAGTTTTGGCAAGGATGTAAAGCGATTTGCCTGCTCATACATTGATGGCAGGAAGGCAAAACAGTACGACCACTTTGAAAAATCGTCTGGTAGCTTCTCATAAAGTAAAAATACACTTAACATGCTAACTAGCCATTCCATTCCTGGTATTTACTCAAGAGAATTAAAAACTTATGTTCTTGCAAATTTAAAGACAAATGTTTCAAGCAGATATATTGATAAGCACTGCTAGAAGCACCGCCAATGTCCACCAGCAGTTCAGTTGACAAAACACACTGTAGTCTACCCGTGCACCAAGTACTGCTCAGAAACAAACAGGAGCCAGCTCTCGGTACGATAACAGGGATGGATCTCAAAACACTGTGCTAAGTGAAAGAAGCCAGACCTGAAAAGTGCATGGTAGATGATTCCATCTACTTAAAATTCTAAAAAAAAAAGATCTGATCTGTGACAAAGAGCAGATAAGTGAAAGGGACAGTAAGTGACTGCAAAGAAGTATAAATAAAGGAATTTTTGGAGTGATGGAAAGGGTTCTATATTTTTATTAAGGTATTGGTTACGTGGGTCTTTTTGCTAAAACTCAACAACCTGTATTTAAAATAGGTGCATTTTATGTAAGCTACTCCTCAATAAACTTGATTTAAATTTTTTTTCTCACTCAACGAAAGTATAGCTAAAATAACAAAGATCTGGGGAGTCAAATGAAGCTCTGTGGAGACTTACAGTGTCAGAAGGCTGGAAATTACCTATGCTCCCAGGTCAAGCTTTGATGAGGATAAGCAGTTAATGTGCCCAAATCACAGACCAAAGGAACAGCTTTCCTTATCTATCCTCAGACTCAGGCCTAATTTTTCTCTTCAAGGTTCTTTTGTTTTTTTTTGAGACAGAGTTGCTCTGTTCCCCTGGCTAGAGAGCAGGGGCACCATCAGAGCTCACTGCAATCCCAAACTCCTGGGCTCAAGCCATTCTCCTGCCTCAGGCTTCCAAACAGCTGGGACTATACGTGCACACCACCATGCCCAGCTATTTTTTCTATTTTTTGTAGGATGGGGTCTCAGCGCACTGCTCTGAGCTGGATTTGAACTCCTCCTCAAGTGCTCCTCCCACCTCAGCATTCCAAAGTGCTAGGATTATAGGTGTGACCCATTGTGCTCAGCCTCTCTATAAAGTTTCCAGAAAACACTACTGCAACCCCCAGCAAATGCTGAGTAGGAGGAACGTAAAACTTGAGGCAGCTCCACAGTTTCTACTATAAAAATTCCTCCTTGAAGGAGCACCCTAAAGAAGGCAGGGCTGGCAGGTATACAGCACAGTGTGGTAGCCATCTATTTTCACCACAGGCCTTTCATAATTTGTTGTTGTTGTTGAGACAGAGTCTCACTATGTCGCCCTGGATAGAGTGCCATGGCATCACAGCTCATAGCAACCTCCAACTCTTGGTCTTAAGCAATTCTCTTGCCTCAGAAACAAACAGGAGCCAGCTGCCTCAGCCTCCCAAGTAGCTGGGATTACAGGTACCCACCAAGATGCCCGGCTATTTTTTTGTAGTAGTTGTCAGTGTTGTTTTTAGCAGGCCCCGGCTGGTTGGAACCCACCAGGTCCAGTATATGTGGCTGGTACCCTAACCACTGAGCAACAGGTGCCCAGCCCCTTTCATAATTTTTTAAATTCTGTATTAAGCTGTATGTAAATTATACATTCCCCATAACAGTCATCATATCCTATTTATCACTATAGGTGACTATTTTCTATAGGAGAACTCCCTGTAAAAAAAAAAAAAAACCCACCAAAATATGCATTACTGAATAAAATATTTGAATTCCAGAATTAAATGTTTGGATTCCAAAATTAAATCTCTTTTCATAGATGGTGTGTTATGGCTTAAAAGTCAGGCTTCTGACAGTTAACATAAGGCTTAGAGAAGGATACAGGTGACATCCAAAAACGTAAGGAGGAGGATCCAGTACATAAAAGGAGGAACTGAAGGGTGGAGGCAGGTGTAACTCAGCACAGTTCCTGAGCAGCATCAACCCAGCAAACTCTCCTTCACGCACTCTCCGTAACTGAGGTGGTACAGGCTGTGCCTTGTGTAGTCTTCTCCCTGAGTTTCTACATGTCTCCCTTCCTTCTTTCATTCTCCTCTTACAATCAAGAGCTATCCCTCACTGAAGTGGCTAGAAAAGCAAACAGTCCCAGGAGATAGGCAGCATCTCTCAGAAGACTTCCTTGGCACTAACAACTACTGCCACCCCCCTCACCCAGCCCCAGCGCCTCCCCTTGGCATAATTCTCAGTACAGAATAGAATTTCAGTGTACACGGTACCCAAGATAAATTTGTTTGCAGGTTCTAGAATGAAAAGCAGCAACACATGGGGTTTAAGGACTGTAAAATCAAACAAAGGATAATTAAAAACATAGGTTTGAGTGGCTGGGTACAGTGGCTCATGCCTGTAATCCCAGCACTTGGGAGGCTGACGTGGGTAGATTGCCTGTGCTCACAGGTTTGAGACCAGCCTACGCCACAGCAAGACCCCATCTCTAAAAATAGCCATGTATTGTGGCAAGTACCTATAGTACCAGCTAGTTGGGAGGGTGAGACAAGAGAATGACTTGAGCCCAAGAGTTGGAAGTTGCTGTGAGGTAGGATGCCACAGCACTTTACCAAGGGTGACAAAATAAGACTCTGTCTCAAGAAAAGAAAAAATAAAAAGGTAGGTTGGAGTCTCTTGGATAAGAAAATAGATATATAAATGCTAATGGCCTCCATGGAAGTAGCAGAAGAGGCCTGTAAGCAGGTAAACTGACCAAGAGTCTTAAATTCAAGCTAGAAGAAGGGAATTCATTAGATGTACTAAAAAAAAATACTAAGGCAGTAACCAACCCAATAATGACACAGTAACAACAGGCAAAATGGGTAAAAAAGAATTCTGATAAACTGTACATGCAGAAGAAGCCCAAGAAATCTTAGGTCAATGAATGTTTAAAAATATCCAAATATAAGAAGACAAATATGACAACACTTAACAAAAATCGGTCTCTACTCAGACTGTCTTTGGTATTTCCTCAAAGGGGGGAATAATATGTAAATGACTATATTAATAATTCATATTTATTGAATTTTAGAAGGAAAATGCCATTTATATCTACATAAGAGTTAAAAAAAAAAAAAAAGACTTAAACACCAGGTTCTCCCCTGCCCCAGCCACCCTTACTTACTCAAGCTCAAAAAAGGACAAAATGAAGTCTGTCCTTACCCCATTCAGCGTTTCTATAGTACTTACCTACTGAAACAAATTCAGATACTAATTGAATTAAATAACTTATAATCTTGCTTACTTTGGTTAAATGTTCCAGAGGAGTGGGAGCTGGGCTGAATTCACAACTTGAAAGGACATCCTCTTCTCTTCTTACATCTAGAATCAGTTGTGCCACATAATTTTCCTGAAATCGTGTCCTTTTTCCCAAAGCACCTAAAAAAACAATAAAATTCTATCTATTAATTAATCTATATCAGATCTACTGTATAATCAAAAAGAGCAATATTTTCAGAGCACTTTACAGCGTATAAGGTGTTTTATCCATTTCATATAAGAAAAGGTGCAGCTTCAGGTTTTAAATGACTTACAAAATTATAAAGCCAATAAACTATGGTGCCAAGACTCAGATCCAAAACTTCTGCCACTGGAGTCTACATATTTGTTTTTGCATCAAAATACCACCCTCCTCAAAAACAAGTAATTCATTAAGGGTTACAGGTAGAACTATTATGGTCTCTACATATATAACAGATGAAAAAACAGGTTCTGGGGAACTATCACTTGCTCAAGATCACAGGGCTTCTCAGCATCAGAGCCAGAGCTAAATCCAGGGTTGTCAGGTCCTAACTCCCACAGACTGTTAAACTATCTGGCTTGCAAAACCAGTATTTTTTCATTATGTCTTTGAAATAACTTGCTGCAGAATAGCTGTTTTCAAATCACTTTAAAAGAAGCAAAAATTCCAACATCCATTCTCTGGAAAGCATCAGATTACAAAGACCCTTGATTACAAAGACTAGTCTAAAAACTCTGGATTTTATCCTGAGATGAGTCTGGCTCTAAGTTACACATCAACCTTTTAAACATGTTATGCTAAAGCCTGCCGCTGAAATGGAGTAGCATAGATTACTTTTTTATTGTAAGGCCATAGCTCGGTGGTAAAAAATAATAACCTGATTCTCATTTTATATTTGTGAGCACCATGTTTGTATTTTTAAATTCCTCACCCTTAACTTGGAAAACAAAATAAAAAGAAGTGATAAATTCAATTAAAGCAAAATATACAGAGTACTGTCCCATTAATTTTTTTAAATAGTCTCAAAAATGTGTGCTAGGACCAAAATATTTAAAAACATAATCTGAGGGCTGCACCTGTGGCTCAGTGAGTAGGGCACTGGTCCTGTATACCGAGGATGGCAAGTTCAAACCCGGCCCTGGCCAAATTGCAACAAAAAAATAGCCAGGCATTATGGTGGGCGCCTATAGTCCCAGCTACTCAGGAGGCTGAGGCAAGAGACTTGCCAAAGCCCAAGAGCTGGAGGTTGCTGTGAGCTGTGACACTACGGCACTCTACAGAGGGCAACAAAGTGAGACTCTACCTCTAAAAAAAAAGCAATCAATCAAATCAAATTAAAAAAAAATCTGAAACTAACCTCACAAGTTATATTACAAATACTAACATTATTAAATACAGATAAGACTCCAACTTATACATAGCCATTCTTCCAAAAACTATAAGCTAAATATTAAAAAATTTCCCCACACAATGTAATAAAAGGTGCTTAAGATTTCAGACAAGTCCACAAAGTCATATATAACTCTTAATATGTCTGATTTTATTGATTATACTAAATCAATAAGAAACACAAAAATCTGGGGGCTAAGCACAACCCTTAGGCATAATCTAGACCTAGCCTCCAGAAAACAAATAGGATCAATCATTTCAACACTCACACACAGGTAGCTACACCATAGATTGCTCAGCCAGGTTCAAAAGGTATAGATGGTATGATCATTTTATGATGTCTGATTTTCATAAATTTATTCAATATTGTGAGATATTAGGAACAAAGCAATTCATTTTTAAAAAGTTTCTTATTTGATATTCATAAGAAACAGAGGTTTTAGGAGAAATTCTGCAAATCATTCCTTCATTCAACAAATATTAAATACTGAGTACTTATTGAATACCATATCCCAGTATTCTAAGGCACTGAAGAAAAACATCAAGTAAACAAAACAGTCAAAACATTCAGCTCACAGGAAGACAAAAAATCGTAGAATGGAAGGGTAGCACCTGTGGCTCAAAGGAGTAAGGTGCCGCTGGCCCCATATGCTAGAGGTGGTGGGTTCAAACCCAGCCCTGGCCAAAAACTGCAAAAAAAAAAAAAAAAAAAAAATTGTAGAATGGAAGCAATAGGTGAGTCCTTATAAGAAAGGGCAATCCAGAGAGGCCAGACTAAGCTGGGAAATCTAGAGAGGGCTTTGGAGGCCCACGCCCACAACCAAATGGTCAAAACTTCATTTGTAGGCCAGGAGTGGTGGCTCACACCTATAATCCCTAGCACTGTGCGAGGCCAAGGCAGGTAGATTGCTTGAGCTCAGGAGTTTGAAACCAGCCTAAGCAAGAATGAGACCTCATCTCTACTAAAAATAGAAAAACTAGCCAGGCGTGGTGCGGGGGTGGGGTGGGGGGGGCTATAGTCCCAGCTACTTGGGAGGCTGAGGCAAGAAGATCACTTGAGCCCAAGAGTTTGAGGTTGCAGTAAGCTGTGGCTCCATGGCACTCTACCAAAGGCTTACAGTAAGACTGTGTCTCAAAAAAAAAAAAAAACTTCATGTACAGCCTGGCTACTGTCTATTACTAATCTGTATCTAACTATATTAGAACAATAAGTGGAAATCTTGGCTCAGCACCTGTGGCTCAAGTGGCCAAGGCGCCAGCCACATATACCTAAGGTGGCAGGTTTGAATCCAACCCAGGCCCAACAAAACAATAATGACGGCTGCAACCAAAAAATACCCAGGCGTTGTGGTGGGCGCCTGTGGTCCCAGCTACTTGGGAGGCTAAGGCAGGAGACTCACTTGAGCCCAGGAGTTGGAGGTTGTTCTGAGCTATGATGCCAGGGCACTCTACCCAGGGGACAGATTGAGACTCTGTCTCAAAAAAAAAAAATTGTTAAAATCCATTTTGTAAATCAAAGAAGGGGATACAGACAAATACTAGCATACAATACAAACTGCCAATGTAGAGATATGAATTTTATTATAAAAATAAAATTATCCACAAAAGGATAAAAAGTCTTACCTGTTAAATCAATTTGTAATTTGCTAATGTCTTTAGCGATACTGAACTGATTTTTTGCTTTTTGATACTCATAATAATATAAAAACATATATGCACATTCCAGATGGAACTGAATGGCCAAATATCGACCTGAATCACCTACAAACAGGTGTTCTAGTTTCATCACTGCAAGACAAAAGAGGAAACATTTTTAAACTATGATGAGAATAAAAACATATTAGTGTTGAATCCATTATATGTCAAGCATGTATTACATAGTTCTCTACCCTTCAAGAATTTTCAATGTAGAAAATCAGGAATACAAAGATAATATTTACCAACCAGCATTCTCTGAGCACTTACATGCTCCAAAGATGAAGCTAAGGGCATTACACACATCACCCCCTTTATTCCACACAATCCTGGGAGCTATGATTCATTTCCTTGCTCTTTCTTAGAGTGTTTGGCTAATTAACTCTATACAAGACGGCAACAGATGCTAAAAAGGCCTAATCTACTTTCTTACCCAGTAACCTGGCAGAACACCTATCACCTTTTGGTCTTAATGTGAACTAAAATTTAAATAGGTCGAAAAAACAAAGCTAGTATTTTTCAAATCTTTTTTTTTTTAATGTTTTGGCTGGGGCTGGGCTTGAACCCGCCACCCCCAGTATATGGGGCCAATGCCATACTCCTTGAGCCCTAGGTGCCACCCTAAATCTAATATTTTTCTACAGCCTATCAAGAAAATTCTCTGAACTCAAAGAGAACAAGTCAAGATGTGCGTGTCTCACCTCAAACATCCTAACAGGAACTTCTCACCGTGCAGTCCTCCAGTAGGTTTCATCCATGTGAATCAAACTCAACAAAAGCTGGATTTGATGATACTCAATACTCGTAGAAAGTGCTTCTTTTTTTTAAACTTTCTTTTCCTTTTGTCTGCCCACCATTCCTGAGTGTCTAGTCATTGCTCTTAGAAATATAATAACCTTCTATAAACACAATTCAGATAACTGTGTTTCAGATATAACCTTCTATAAGCAATAATTGTGCACAATATAGCACAATTCAGAAGTGACACAATTTGATCTGGTTGACAATAATAGTATACTTCCCAAAAACTTATGGATGCACAAATTATGGAATGTTAAGGGTTGGCCAACATTTTAAAAAATTCTCTCCCTTGGCTTGGTGCCTATAGCTCAAGCGGCTAGGGCACCAACCACAAACACCAGAGCTGGTGGGTTCAAATCCAGCCCGAGCCTGCCAAACAATGACAACTACAACGAAAAAATAGCCAGGCGTTATGGCCTACACCTGTAGTCCCAGCTACTTGGGAGGCTGAGGCAAAAGAATCACTTAAGCCTAGGAGTTTGAGGTTGAGTTGTGAGCTGTGAAACCACAGCACTCTATTGAGGGTGACAGCTTGAGGCTCTATCTCAAATAAATAAATAAAATAAAAAATAAAAATTCTCTCCCAAATGTCACAGAAAGGTCATAGGTCTAGGGAAGGCTATCACATTTAAACTGTCCTAATACCACACAAATAAGTCATATAAAGGTCCAAAGTTGGTTGTATACTGGGTGCAGTGGCTCACAGCTATAATACTAGCAGTTGGGGAGGCTGAGGTAGGTAGACTGCTTGAGCTCAGGAGTTCAAGACCAGCCTGAGCTAGGGCGAGATCCCAACTCTACTAAAAATAGAAAATCTACCCAGGTGTGGAGGTAGGGAGGTAGGGACCTGTAGTCCCACCTACTTAGGAGGCTGAAGCAAGAGGATGATCCTTGAGCCCAGGAGTTTGAGGTTGCTGTGAGCTATCATGCCACAGCTCCCTACCCAAGGTGACAGAGTGAAACTCTATCTCAAAAAAATAAATAAGTAAAAATAAAGTTACTTGTGTATATCTCTCTTTCCTTCTTACTGATCTCTGGTATGTACATACATGTGTCTTACCAGCATAAACTGGCATTGACCTGGTACTTCTGTGCTCTCTCTGTGTATCTTATGTGTTTCAGATTGAACATTAGAAAACATAGGGAAATAGATTCTGATTTCTTTTTTATTTTTTTAGAGACAGAGTCTCATTATGTCGACCTAGGTAGAGTGTGGTGTCATCACAGCTCACAGCACAGCAACCTCCAACTCCTGGGCTTAGGGGATTCTCTTGCCTCAGCCACCCAAGTAGCTGGGACTACAGGTGCCCACCACAACACCCAGCTATTTCTTGTTGCAGTTTGGCCAGGGCCGGGTTCGAACCCGCCACCCTCAGTATATGGGGCTGGTGCCCTACTCACTGAACCACAGGCCCTACCTGTATATGAAATATTTAAGAGGTTTTAAGAAATGACAAGCTAGAAAATATGAACAAGCAATAGGACACTATAGAAATCAAGCAGACAAACTAGAAAAGGAGCCCAAAAAAGTCTAGAAATTCTTTCTCCAATCGAAATTAAAAACTAGGCTCGGCCCCTGTGGCTCAAGTGGCTAAGGCGCCAGCCACATACACCTAAGGTGGCGGGTTCGAATCCAGCCCAGGCCCACCAAAACAACAATGACGGCTGCAACCAAAAAATAGCCGGGTGTTGTGGCGGGCACCTATGGTCCTAGCTACTTAGAAGGCTGAGGCAGGAGACTCGCTTGAGCCCAGGAGTTGGAGGTTGCTGTGAGCTGTGATGTCACAGCACTCTATTCAGGGGGACAGCTTGAGGTTCTAGCTCAAAAAAAAAAAAAAAATTAAAAACTAACTGGACAGATGAGAGAACTAGAAGACAGATCCAAATAAAGTTACATAGAATGCAACACGGAGAAACAGAGAGAAAACAAAAGAATTAAAGAAGGTTGGATATGCAGATGAGAAGGCCTAACATGTTTAAAGATGTGGAAGGAGAAAACAGGCCAGAGACAGTACCTGAAGAGATAATGGCTAAGAACTTTCCTGCAGCATGGAAAGACACTAACTCTCAATGTCAGGAACCCATTAAGTTCCCACCAAGAAAAAGAAAAAGAAATCCATACCTTGTCCAAACATAGTCAAAGTCAAGAACCACAAATACAAAGAGAAGCTCTTAGGGACAGGAAAAAAAAAAGGTAAGACTTCTCACAAAGTAAGAACAACTAGACCAACAACTGATTTCTCAACACCAACAATGGAAAAAAGAGAGTAATACCTTCACAGCACTGCCCAGAGTCCTTTGGCCAATGATTCGAGGAGGGTAAAATAACATCTCCAAGCAAACAGAAAATGTTTATCACCAAGATATGCTTATTCAAGTGGAGCAACTGCTAAATTATTTTATATAACCTTTAAAATACAAGAACATAACTTTTAAGTTTTACCTCCCCTGAGTGGAAAGAATAATGAGAAAACGCTGCCCAAAGGCACAAAAGAAAAGGGCCAAAGACCACATCCTAACACTGTATTATAGTTCCAACCTTCCAAAGAAAAACTAAACAAATAACATCTTTAAAGTTTATAAAAAGTTAAAAGGCTGAATCTCTTTATGAAAAGTTTCAAGGAGGATTGAGGGTTTTATCTATTTTTAGAGTTTTTGATTTAGAGTCAAAGTTAAAAGCTGCTAGAAGCATCTGCTTCAGCACAAAAAATTCCCAAGTAATTAAGCTACCAGTGAAGACATACAAAACTCTGAGGAGTACAAAGCAGTGAAACGGAATCGGTGTTTCCCCAAAAGCAGTGGTCATCTGAGAGACAACACTCTCATGAGAAGCTGAATCTCGTGGATATTAGTTAAACAAACATAAAAAAGAAAAAGAGAGAGACTCAGCGCCTAAGGCGCAGTGGCTAGGGCGCCAGCCACATACACTGGAGCTGGCAGGTTCAAATCCAGGCCCGGTCTGCCAAACAACAACGAAAACTGCAACCAAAAAATAGCTGGGGCTCAGTGCCTGTAGCTCAGTGGCAAGGGGACTAGCCACATACCCTGGAGCTAGTGGGTTTGAATTCAGCCTGGGCCTGCTAAATAACAATGACCCAAAAATAGCTGGGCATTGTGGCGGGTGCATGTAGTCCCAGCTAGTTTGGAGCCTGAGGCAAGAGAATCGCTTAAGCCCAAGACCTTGAGACTCTGTCTCAAAAAAAAAAAAAAAAAAAAAAAATAGCTGGGCATGTGGCAGTACCTGTAGTCCCAGCTACTTGGGAGGCTGAGAGAGAACTGCTTGAGCCAAGAGTTTGAGGTTGCTGTGAGCTGTGACACTACAGCACTCTACTGAGGGCATCATAGTGAGACTTTGTCTCAAAAAAAGAATTGTATAGTCTTGATTAGAATATAACTAGGATCACAGAGACACCTCTCTGAGATCTAGTACTAAAGAGACTAACAGGTTCGGCGTCTGTGGCTCAAGCAGCTAAGGCGCCAGCCACATACACCTGAGCTGGTGAGTTCGAATCCAGCCTGGGCCTGCCAAACAACAATGACAGCTGCAACCAAAAAATAGCCAGGCGTTGTGGCGGGCACCTGTAATCCCAGCTACTTGTAAGGCAGAGGCAGGAGACTTGCTTGAGCCCAGGAATTGGAGGTTGCTATAAGCTGTGATGCCACGGCACTCTACCCAGGGTGACAGCTTGAGGCTCTGTCTCAGAAAATAAATAAATAATAATAAATAAATAGACTAACAAAAAATTTGACTTTTGGCTCGGCGCCTATGGCTCAAGTGGCCAAGCTGTCATCCACATGCACCTGATCTGACAGGATCAAATCCAGTCAGGGCCTGCCAAACAACAATGACGGCTGCTACCAAAAAATAGCCGGGCATTGTGGAAGGTGCCTGTAGTCCCAGCTACTTGGGAGGTGGAGGCAGGAAAATGGCTTGAGCCCAGGAGTTGGAGGTTGCTGTGAGTTGTGATGCCATGGCACTCTACCCAGGGCAACAGCTTGAGGCTCTGCCTCAAGAAAAAAAAGTTGACTTTTTAAATAAAGAATTATATAGTTTCTTCAATTAGTATGTGGTTATAGAGCAGCTACTATAAAAACTCAGACACAATTGAAATATATGGCATAATCATAATCAAAATGTATTGAGTCCACCCTCACTAAATCCCTTAACTGATTCCCATTGCTCTTAGCATTAAGGCAAAATTCCTAAGCATAGCTTATCTGTCCTGCACAGTACTGGACCTCTGTCTCCCATAGAGTTCTCATGCTGCTCCAGACACCATGACCTTTCTTTT